CATGGCTTCAATTCAGAGGATTCCCTTGGTCCAAGTGCCCTTCAGAACTGTTGTGCATGAGTGGGATGGAAGGAGGGAGGAGGAACATGGAAGGGGGTGGTACAATCTGATTGATTTATTGTAAGTATTCAGAAGGGTTTCTTCCCCTTTGTGATTGTGTAATTGCCCTTTGTCACACTCAGATTTAAGATTATTCTAAATGTGTCTTGGAAATTCCCATACTGTCTAGTTGACCAGTTAAAAAATTCCTCTTGTTCATCATATTTCAGGATAACAGATATAAACCCATTTTAGGAAAAAACATTTTTAAAAGAACATATCAATTTTACTGGTAGTTTATTCTTGAAAATTTTGCGTAAGAAAATAAATTTGCAGCCATTCTCAATGGCTGCTACCAGTTCTTTGTAGAAATTTCCTTTACTGGAAAAAAGATCTTTTACTTGAGTAAGTGTTAAAGTAAAAACCTGAACAGAACTCTATCATCTTGACTATAGTCTTGAATAGATTATCAGACACTTTGCTTGTGAACATTTAAGGAAAGAAACTAACTTTATTTCCTTACTTGGAAATTTTAAGAGCAACATGACCAAAACATAATTGATTGATCCATGTCTTCTTGGAAAGAGTTTATCATGTGCAGCTATCTTGGACCATGACCCTGCCATATTTTAATAATTTTACTGATGGCACAGGTTAAAACTATGGCACACACGCCCATCAGGCTTTCTGGTGACATTCAGCAAAAGAGGATAAGGGATAAAAGGATCATTGCTTTGGAATTCAGAGAAGTCTTCCTAGGGTGGAGCAATGGGCTGAATCTAAGAAGATGAAATTTTCCAGGGATAATTTAAGATTCTGTATTTGATTTAAAAAGCACAACTGAACAAGCACAGGCCAGGATTTAACAGAGGCTGTGGAAATTACAGATTAATGTAAACCAGAAAGCATTTAAGCCTTAACCACCTAGAGAAAGGACAAATACATCTATGTATATCAGTGGTATAATAATGCTCTCAGAGTCTACTGGAGTAAGTTCTGTTTCTTTGAAGATGCTGTAGGTTAGAGACAAGATACAGGAAGGCATTAAATATGTAAGACTTTATGAAAAGTCAAACGAGTGTGCTTAACAAGCTAACATTTAAAAAGATTTAAACCATTTAAAAAGAATAACTAGTTATATAGAAATACCACCTAGAAGCAAAACTTAGTTCTCAAGAGCATCAAGTTAGTAAGGAATTCTTCAGTCCCCACATTTCTGAAGGTTTATATATTTTGCTTGTTTTTTTGATTGGGTGTCTCTTTTAAAGATTGGAGAGCTACACAGCTGAATATTTACTGCTTGTTTCCAAAATTTAATAGTGAAGTATGTGAAACTAAAGAAGCAGATGTGTGAAATGGGGGCTTGTCTTCTGCATTCTAACCCCCATGTGACTTTCTTGCTGCCAGTTTTTTTGTTTGTTGGTTTGGTTTTTGTTTTGTTGTTGTTGTTGTTGCTATTTTGAACTGTTTAATTCTCTATCATTGTACATTTTAGGTTGTTTTGGGGGGTCGTTTTGCAAAATAGGAAATTTAGCAGTGAACTTCATATATGCAATGTTTTTCTTTATTTAGAATGTTTTCGTAATAAAGGTTCTGGTTTGGGATTATCGGTTTGTATCAGCTTGGACTCTCTTGGTTGCAAGTGACCACCTGAACTCACAGTAGCTCCGGCGCAGGAGATGCACTGGCTCCTGTGCCAGGCGAGAAGTGGCTTGTCCTTCAGGCGCTCTCCTCTGGGTGCTGTTTCTCTCCCTCGTTCCACTCCACATTCCCCCACCTCCTTCTTCAGACTTCCCCATACCTCAGCTAGTTAGCCGCTGGCCACGCTTTCAGAGAAAAGGTCCCACTCCCTCCAGCCTCCCTATCGAATTCTGACTTTCCCTTTCTGGGTTACATGCTCACCAATCACTTGGAGTCAGGCAGGAAGTTTCCAGAAGGAAGGGATGTGAAGCAGACAGAATAACAGATGTTTACAACATCTGTCAAAAAGGAGGAATATTTTTATACTCTCTCCTCCCAAAAGAAGATGTGTGTTCAGGATGACGGGTTATGCGCACATCAGGCAGGTATGTGGGGCACACTTAGTATTCTGGTGCCTGGAGCATTTAGTTTGAAGCTTTGAATCCACTGTTTATTTTACTGTATCTAGGTAATGAAACTTACGTATAAGATTTCTGTCTTCCGGCCATTCACTTCTTCTGTAATACTTTTTGAAATTGCTATTGAAGAAATTAGTCATGGTTCACAGTATGTATTCAGTATACAGGGTGAAGTTATATATCGACCAGGAATTGTGGAAATTTAGCTCTTGAAAATACTTGAGGAGTCATTTCTTAAAGCACAGCTAACATTGGAAAAGGCGGTGTACAAAAACAGACCTTTTCTTTCAAAAACCACATCAGAAATAGTTGGACTGATTGACGATTGAGGTCGAGGTCAGCAGCTTTATCTGTATGGAGACTAGTGGTGGGGAAGGGGGAAGGGAGAAGACACTGGAAGGGCGGGAGGGTCAGGAGAGAGGGAGCAGGTGGTGGGAGATGGTGCCTCGAGGTTTCCAGTCTTGCCTGAACTTTGTCAGAAGAGTTGCTCCTCTAGGCTGAGTGGTTTTGTTTTTTCTGTTGACATGTTATGCTTATTTGAAGATGTGCATTTAAAATCTTTTGGGTCTCCAAAATTAGTCTCAGTTCTAATTTTTAAGAAACATTTCTAAAAAGGTTTTTTTAAAAAAGTCCTAAATCAATGTTTTAAATAAACCTACAGCGTTTGCAGACATTTTTCCGTGGGTAAATGTACAGTAAGTAATATTTAGCTGTGTAAGGGAGTTTCCATTTTTTATTTTTGACTTGTTTCACATTCTGTTTCACCAAGTTGTAAGTTTAGTAAACAAGAGGTTTTTCTATTCTATATCTGCGGGTTACTTGGATTTAATTGAATCAAAAAATGTGTTAATCAGGATTCTTAAGAAACAGGAACAAAACAGCAAGTTCCTCATCTGGCTTTTGTCAGCCCACCAGGCCTCTGCCCTGTCCTGGGGGTGGGGGCTGTTCCTGGCTTGGGGACCTTCCTTCCTCACGGCCAGGACCCTCCTCCTCTCCTTCCTCATGCCTGTGTCTCCTATCTGCCCTCATTGCACAAGGAGTTGAGGTCGGTTGACTTGTTTCTTAATAGTCCCCAACATAACAAGCAGAATTCTACCTGCTATTGCAGCTGTTGGAGAAAAACACCTCGGCCTCGTGTCCTTGTCCTTTATAGTGAGCGAAGGAAAGCTGTGATGCTTACAGAATTCTCGCTCCGCCTGCAGTCCGGCTTTCAGTCCCTCCCTGCCGCCCGTGTACAGGAGTAAAGGATCTGATGCTATTTCTTGACTGACAGACTGCGTGTTACTGTTTGTTTCTTTCTAACATTTTGTTATGAATCAAACATGTAGAAAAGTTGAAATCATTTTCCATTGAACACCCTAAACTCACTATCTAGATTCTATAGATAGCATTTTACTTACTGTATCTGCTTTATCACATAATCCTCCATCAGTTCATCTTATTATTTTTGATGTATTTCAAAATAAATTAGGTTTTGGGGCCCCCCCCACTCTTTTATCACTGGATGTGAATCCTTGATCTTGGTTAGAAGGATTTCACGCATCACTAAGCACGTGTGAAGAATGAGCCTTGGTGAGCGGAAGGGTCTAGCACAGTTCTTCCCGTATGGTAGGTGTACAGCAACTGTTTGTTAAATGAATGCAATTCCATTTGTCCTGTTTGAGGCCAGCTTCACTTTGCCTGTTAGGACAAAGTGATGTTTAAAACAAACCATATGGGTGGGAGGGTATAGCTCAAGTGGTAGAGCATATGCTTAGCATGCACGAGGTCCCAGGTTCAAACCCCAGTACCTCCTCCAAAAAATAAATAAATAAGTAAACCTAATCACCTGCCCCCACCAAAATTAAATTACAAAAAAATTTTTCCTCAGTATGTGTGATCTGCAGTTTATAAGATAGACTTCCTTTTGTAAGATAGTCCCTGAAAGACAATGATTTAGAATTTGAAATGGATTAAAAATTTTTTATATTATAAAAAAGTATATATATTATAAAAGTGTTATATATATATATATATATATATATATATATATATATTTTACAGCAGTGGTTCTCTCTCTTGAAATATGTGCATGGCAGTTATTCCAAGGAGTCCACATTTCTGGGTTGGTGCCTCAAGGATCCTCTTGAGGAAGAGGCCGAAAGGGCAGCCCCACCTCATATCAACCAGAACAGCTTCCCTTTAGTCTGTTTTCTATGAAATTAAGATTCTACTGCAAGAAAAGGTTTGAGAATCACAGCTGCTCCTGTTACCTGCCCGTACACCCCAGCCCCGTGTAAGTCGTGCAGCAGGAGTATTACAGCAGAGGAGTAGGAATGCACCTTGCCGCCCGCCTCTTAAATTTCTGAGTTTAGCTGGCTAGGGATGCCGCACCCTCAGAATTTATCCTAGGTAAAGAATTGTGAGAGTTTTCTTGTAAGGGATTAAGCTAAAGGTGATGAATCTGACATGTGGTACATATTTACACGTCTGTATAGATGTCGTTTCAGGCCCTGAGAGTGAGTGTTCCCAGAATGAACAATATCCGTATTCCCACTTCTTACCCCCTGAAAGGAAGGCCGTGCCTTTTCCCCCTGGTGAATTGGGTGCATTTTGAGTACTTGGGGGGGGGCTGATCTCTAAATGCAGCGTGGGCGGCTACCAGAAACCTTCCCTGTTTCCAAAGCAGAGCGGGTCTCTCACTGTTGGTGTCATTCTTCCTCCCAAGAGGGCTGGTGAATCATTTTGGTACTGTGTCTTCCTTTCTTCCAAAACAACCGTAGCCACCGTCATGAAGTGTTGTTCACACCAGCACGTTTGCAAAGTGAGCAATGTAGCTGGTTCTTTCTTTTACTGTCAAGTTTACATCTGTGACTTCCTCTTTTTCTCTCCGCTCCCTGTAGGCTCGGGTTATGTACGATTTTGCTGCTGAACCTGGAAATAATGAACTGACAGTTAGTGAAGGAGAAATCATCACAATTACAAATCCGGTAAGAACTGTCACGTTTAAATCTGCCCCTTAAGGACTTATTTTTAAATTTTTATTTTTTTAGCAGGTTGATCATTCAGACCCACATGAATTTTTTCCTGTTACTTATGAAGTATTGACAGTGAAGTAATAATCTGTTACATAAACATTAAGGACAGTTAGGACCCCCTGGCAGTAGCTGGATAGGGTTGTAGCAGGCAGAAACGGAGCGACATCCCAGACAGATCCCAGCTGGACACAAAGGTGTCAAGATTAGAAAGTAATCAGGGTTATTCGGCAGCCGCAGCTGCCATTTGTTGACGGCTGACAAGGCAGGCGCCCGGCTGAGGACTCTGCATAGGTTCTTTGAGGTATTGTCCCTGTGGGTCTGAGGTAGGTGTTTTTAATCTCTTTTTACAGTTGAGGGTAGTGAGCCTTAGGTCAAGTAACGTGCCCAAGACCCTTCTGCTTGTCAGTGGCAAAACAGGGATTCAGAACCATATCTGTCAGCATCTAAGCCCTGTTCTTCTTCTCTGCTGGGGACACTGCATGTAAACAAGTGTCCCCGGAGCACAGATGTACGTACGCCAGTAGGAGACAGGCTAAGAAAACTGGCTCGTAGAGCCAGATCAGACAGGACCTGTGGGCCAGGCTACAGACTGGGATTTCATTTGGGAAGCAGTGGATTCATTTAAGAGTTTAGCCTGGTTTCATTGTTGATCCTGTTGTAAGGAGGTGACATGATGAGACCTGCACGTCAAGGAAATAATCTTGCAGAGGTGTACCGGGTGAACTGGTGCGGCTGGAGTGTAGGAGCCTGGCTTCGGGTCATAGCAATAGGAGCAGAGAGAAGAAGGGTGCAGGAGGCTCCTGAGAGTCAGGCCGGGAGGACTTGGTGGCTGATTAGATACTATTGGTGAGTAATAGTCAAGGGTCCTTGGGATTTTTGGCCTTTGCACCTGAAAGAAAGGTGCAAATGGATTTATTAAAGCATGAAAGTCAGGAAGAAGAACTTCTCTGGAAGATTAAATGAGTTTATTTTTTTTGATGTTGAATTTAAAGACTAATAAATAATCAGCCCTGCCCTATGAGCTTTGCATCAGTTTAGAAGTAGAGGTGCAGAGCTAGAAATGATGCCTGGAGACCGGCCAGCTCTCTGGACATCTGTGAGAGTAAGCATGTGAAGAGAGGTGCCAGGAAGGCCAAGGAGACTTGAGGAGGAAGGAGAGATGCACCCGTTCCACCAGGTGGGAGGGAGGGGGAACCATGGCAACAGAGAGATCAAGGAAGGAGAGCAAGGGATGACCAAGAAGATGGCTGTTTCTTAATATTGATAGTATTTTTAGACCTATTTTATGCCTTAGATTAAAAAAAAAAGTTACTGGTTAGAAAAAGTATATGTAGTTTTAGATACTATTCAAAGTGTGTATAAGTAAATAGGTTCTATTTTTAATCCATTAAGAGATTAAAGATTCTTTTATCTACCATTGAATATTCTTTTTTTAATGAAAATGTATCTTCATTTCTTGGTAAAATAGTATTGTCTTTAAGTTGTTGTTGTGGTCAAAAATGAACAAAGTTGTGGCTTAAAATGACTTAAAAAGAATGTGTTATCTAGATTCAGGAAATTATTAACTAATGAGGGTATGATTTATGAATTTAAGACAACCTTTACTATTTTAAGGGGGAAAAGTAGGACTTTCCTGAGGTAGCATTGAAAAATGGAAATCTTGGGATAGCGTACTTATTTAGTTTATTAATACAACTTGCCCGGAAGAGCTGAGGAACCACGGATCCGTTTTTCCTAAACAACCATGGATCGGGACCCCTCCTGTCCGCTGGCCGGTTCTGCTGCCCTGGGCTCATCCGAGGGTCTGCAGTCACCCAGCGTGGCGCCGGGGCAGAGCTGTCCGGCAGGGCCTCTCTGTCTGGGTTCTGCTGGGGGCTACCTGGCTTTGGATGGGGCAGCAGGGGGAGACTAGGCCTTGTCTCTGTCATCAGCTGGTAACCCACAGTTATTCTCACAGCAGCTCTTTTAGAAAAAAGAGTGAGCGGAAGCCTCACTTGAAGCCTCTTGAGGCCAGGCTGTCAGCTCAGCCACGTCATCCGCACCGCAGCCTGTTGGCCAAAGAGGTCACGAGCGCAGCACAGAGTCTTGAAGCGGGCGTGTGCACTCTGCCTCTGACAGTCAGAGCCGCACACCATTTTTGTAATCTGCCGCAGACCAGTAAATAGAAAGGAATTGCAAAATGATGGCATTCTATTAATAGACTTTTTCAATCTTTGATCAATTATTAGTTGATTTTTCTTATTTTTAGATTATATCAGTTTCTGACGTAAAGAGAGGGCTTAAGAATTTAAATTTTTGAACAGTGTTAGTTCTGTAGGAATGAAAAGGTTAATGTTCGTTACTTTCTTATGCATAACAATGCCCAGAGCAAAATTTCTGCAGGAAATTCCAACTATAATCTTTTTCGTTCTTTACCTTTTTAAGGATGTTGGTGGAGGGTGGCTGGAAGGAAGAAACAGCAAAGGAGAACGAGGGCTTGTTCCCACAGACTATGTAGAGGTAAGAACTTACTGTCATTTGTTAATTAAACCTGGTCTTGGTCAAACATCTTTTGATGAATTATCAGCTTAAAGGACAAGACTGGAAAATAACTTTATCTTTACTGAAAAAGTTCCATTGTGAAAGTAATACATGCTGATTATATAAAATGTGGAAAATACATTAAAGTACAAGTAAGAGGAAGTATTACCTACAGACTTAAGTTCCAAAGAGTGACTCCAAGTATTTAGATTAAATTTCTTCCAAGGTTAGCGACTTTTAATTATTTTAAATAAAACTCCTTATATTTCCTTTGCTAATATCGTATAATAACTGCTGCCTACAGTATTGTTTATTGTAGAATTGGTTCACAAAGTTTAAGTTTTTTAAAGTAGCTTTCTTCTCCCTGTACTAATTTAGGACATATCTCTCAGTTTCTTCTCTGGTCCCCAAAGTCAGAGGGGTCTCGAATGAGCTGCTGTGAGCTGTTGTCTGGTTTAAGCTCTGTTGTGATAGATGCCAAGGGTAGTGTCACACTCCCTGAAGGAGCTGTCCCTGCCAGGGACACACCCACGCAGCTGTCAGACTCTCTCCTGAGCCAACCTCCTGGCGCCCCCTGCTGGGTGTCTGTAGATCACTCAAAACTGAATCCTGGGTACTTGGTGAGCGTCCCTCTCATCCCAGGTGACAGAAAGAAACTAGGGTTGCCTGGTTCCCTGTGAGTGAAAGTGGAGCGAGATCAAGAATAAAGGTGCCTTCAGCCCCCCCTTCCATGGCGAGGAATAGAGCCTGGGCGGATGTGTACGGGTGCTGCCTGCAGAATGGGAGGCCGTCAGTCTTGTGCCTGACAGAGTTAGGGGGGAGCTTTGAACCCTCTCGAGAATCTGATGAAATCTCAGAAGGACGTGTATATGCAGGCACCCCAGCCTTGCCAGACAGCTTACTTCTGTGCACTGTGCATTCAGGGTCCTAAAAACTGACAACAATAAAAAAAAATGGGAATTTAAGTTGATTCAGGCATTCGTTGCATTTTCCAGAATTCTGCATACTTGTGGAGAGGAATCGTTATGACGAATGTGCTTGGGCTTGCTTGCCTTTTAAGAGCTGAAACCCCTTTTCCATAATAGACGACAATTCTTGCTTGCTCTCAGGGACTCTAACTCCGAAATGACTCTAATCTGTGAAAAATCACTGTGGTTCTTTCTAATGTTCAGATTTTGCCCAGTGATGGGAAAGATCAGTTTTCTTGTGGAAATTCAGTGGCTGACCAAGCCTTCCTCGACTCCCTCTCAGCAAGTACAGCTCAAGCCAATTCATCAGCTGCCAACAGTAGTAACCAGGTAAGTCTTCGCACCTCACCCTGCTGGGTACGGCTGGCTTCACTGAGAGCAAAGCGCATTTGTGAAAGCTTGAGATGCATCATCGCCGTTGCCATTCCCTGAAAGCGTGAACAAAATAGCTGATAGATGTTGGTGTGGCATTCCTTGCTGGGTTTTAACAAAGAACTTGCCTATTAAACCTGCTGAAGACTGTTTTTAGAGTTGATTGTAAAAGACAAGGCCAGGTGTTCATTGAGAGTTGCTTTTAAAAGTCTGGCATGATATGAACACAGACCCCATAAGTTGGAAATACCCTCTCAAGTGAGGGTGTGGAAAGAAGAGGGTCCTCTGCTGAGGGGCGGCGGTCAGTGTCAGAGCTCTGGCTGGACCAGGGCAAAGTCTCTGTGGCCTTACGTGTTACTCGTGCTCTCAGCTCGAGCCCCCTCTCCTGCAGCTGCAGTGCCTGGAGAAGTGGCTGCAGATCCAGCAGTCAGTACTGTTACTGTGCTACTTCTAGTGGGACAATTTGAGAAAAATATATTGAAATTTTACATTAACTTTGATGAATTTGACCAGTTTAGTTGACTCTGCCTAGTTTAGTTATTGCTAAACGATTATCTAGAGCAAGTGTCAACAAGAAAATTCAGAAGATGGATATGAAAATGTTATTGCTTCCTGCATCTTTAGAAATGAATAGGTTTTAGGGGATGTTATTTCTCAATATTTTTAACTACATAAAAGGTTTTAAATTATGTGGAGCCTAATAATCATATCACTTATAATTATTTGCTTACAGGATATTTATATCTTAACCTTTTACGAGACTTGGCAAAGTATTATTACCATGTGTTAACTGCAGATTGTATACATTTTAAAATAGCTTTTGTGAACATCCTGAATTACAAATTAGTCTGGCCCAGATATTTAAAATTCAGAGGCAAAGTTATCACCACAGTTGAGCATTGTCCTATATTTTGTTAATGTATAACGCCTGAGAACACTGGTTGGTTAAAGTTCACTCGAGATAAAATGTGAAGAAATAGTAGTTAAACCTTACTTGGCGTTTTTGCCAGGTGACTCTCAGCCTGAGCACTGTTAACATTTGGGGCCTGATTCCTCCTCCCTGTGATGATTATCAGCATCTCTGGCCAGTAACACCCCTCTGGGGGGCAGTCATCAAAATTGTCTCCAGACATTGCCAAGCGGGCAAAGTCAACCCAGCTGAGATTCACTGAGTTACACAGAACATCAGTAAGAGGGTTTGCATTAAGTAAAAGACAACATTTCAATAAAGGGGAACTAAACTGAGATGATCATAGAATAAGTGAAGGAAACAAAAGATGGAAATACTCATCTTATTTTAACTCAGCAACCCGTTTCAACCATTATCTCAGCATAGACTGAATGAAGCACTTTAGTTCATACGCAGATTGAAAGTCAGGCTTAAATCTTTTTCGGTCATGAAGAAGATTCCTCGGTATTTAAAGGTAGTAATATAAACTGGTCAGCATGAGTCTAAATAGTTTTCTTCCAGGTTATTTAGAAGAAAATATAACTGGCTTTTTAAAGTTGGATTTAACTATTCCAGTCGGACATTAAATCTAGTCAGATCCTTTGAAAACAAAGAAAGAATGAAGTGAAACTAGGAGTAACAAAAGGCAGAAACATGACCATAGTGAATTAATTTTGAGCATTTGAATTTAATTTAAATCAAGTAAAAATATTTTCAGTAGCCATCTATGCTATCAGTTATCCAAGATACGAGAACAATTTAAATGGGCCAAAATTGGCATGTTTCTTAGATACTATGAAAGATGTCATGAACAGGAAACCAGACAACCATTATTAATCAGTAGCTTTTAAAAATATTGCTAACAGGTTTGCCCACTCTTTGATTCTCTGAGTGCCAGTAAGAAAGTGCTGTCTTTGTGGACAACCAGGATGTGTCTCTTGGGATTTTCTAGTTATTCTGGCGTTGTGTTCTCTCCCAGAGGACTGTTTTATTTGGGGGACGAGTGTGTTGGAGGAGCCGGGCCTCTCACAGGGCGCACCACCCCCAGCTTGGTACCCGCAGACTCCCCCCCTAGCACTGGTTTCGTCTTCTCAACACCTCTTGTGTGAAGTTTGGCTTTCTTCCCACACAGGCAGGGTAAAGCCCCACATTCAGCTGCTCATTATCCAACTTTCTGACTGTTGTATCTTTCTTTTAAATCATATCTTTTTAGAAAGATCTCTCTAAAAGGTTATATGTCCATCTGCAGATTTTCCTGAATAACTTACTTTGAGCCTGCTATTTTTTAATTTATCTGAGCCTTCCTTGACTTTGTATTTTTAAGCTGTACTGCATTTCAGAGTTCATACATTTACAACTTAATGTGTAAAATAGCACTTCCTTTTATTTTTCTTAAAACTCCTAATTTCAGGTTGCTTGGGTACCTTCTGGTTCTAGCTTCTTACTGAGCAGGCACAGAGGTGAGTGCAGGAACCGTTAGTGGCAGATGATGCTGATGCACTCAACCCGTTCGGTCTTTTTCTTCCTTAACTAGTATGTGAGGGAACCCTGTATCTGTAAAATATAGTGCAGGCACTTGGCTATGGTATAGACTGGAATTGTAATGTTAGAGAAATATAATGCATTATTCTTTAAATGTGTTGGAACAATTTAATTTGGAAAACGATAAAGCTTCTTTTTAAGTGCTTGGAGAAAACATAGACATTTAAAAATAACCTTGGAATATAGAAGGCCTTCCTAAGCACAACAGAATTTCTAGCAGCCATTAAGAAAAGAATTGATACATTTAAGTCAAAAAGTAATATTAGACTAGGAAAGTAAGTTCTAACATGCCAGAGATATCAGCTAATTCTGTTAAAATGCAAAGAACTTTTATAAATCTATAGGAAAAGATAAACAACTCAGGAGAAGAAATGGACAAAGGATGTGAACAGATTTTCATTGGGAAAGAAATACAAACAGCCAGTAAACATATGAAAGTGCTCATTTTAAAATTCTTCTATCAAATTAGAGAATTAAAATGTTTTAATACCTAGTGTGAGGAAAGGCGTGTTCAAATAGGCATTCTGGTATGAATTTGGTAAAGGATAAATTGATGAAGCTTTTTGGAGGATAGTTTGATAATACATATTAACATTTAAAGTGCATATACTCTAACCCAGCCCTTCTGAGTTTATCTGACAGCTCTACTCTCAGAACACGGCCATCTGGGCAGGAGAAGAGGTTTCCTGCAGCTCTGCTGTGACGGCAAAGCCTGGAATGTGCATGTCATCAGTGGGGGGCTGGCCAGACAGATGACAGGACAGAATGAGGGTAGCTGTAGTGGGGAGGGTGTAGCTTAGTGGGAGAGTGTGTGCTTAGCATGCATGAGGTCCTGGGTTCAATCCCCAATGCCTCCATTAAATAAACAAACCTAAATACTCCTCCCTCCCAAAAAGAGTGAGGGTAGCTTTAGATGTACAGATAAGGGTGAATGGGCTTTTTAAAAGTCATATCAGTATGTGTAATGTTATCGTTCTTGTATTTAAATATATACACATCACAGAGGAAAATTGGGTAGAAGACTTATTGAAGGATAACCAAGAAATGAATCAGATTCTTATTGTTTTCTTCTTTTATTACAGATTTTAAGTTGGATTAGGACTGCTATTGCAGTACCTTTAGATATGAAGAATAGTTTTTAGTGGTTAATATTGGTTTCATTATTAGTCAAGTCATTTTTCTGGTATTTTACAGTTCAAGAGTATTTCCTATTAGTGGCTGTGCCACTAGAATGAATTAACCCGCTGATGGGAGTGAACCTCAGATGTCATTACAAGATATATGTTCACAGTTGTCCTTGTCTTATTTTTCACCCAGTGTTAAAATTATATCATTGCCTTGATTCTAAAAATGTTCTCAGTATATGTCTTTAAAAAAAACTCTTAGATCACTGACTCTGCAGAACGTACTTTTGAGAAATTAGTGAGAAGTTTTTGTTTGTACTTTTTAAAGAACAATGGGGACTAAACATTAATTGAAAGTCATACAAACCTAGATGTTTTATCTGAGGTTTTTGACTTGAGGGATTTATTTTTCTTTTTTAAACACTAGAAAGATATACATACTTGGAATAAACTGCTTCTCCTTTTGTTAAAATTCTTGATGCTTTTTTATCATACTGTATCCCAGTTCCCCGAATGTGTCTGTTTTTCTGTTTCACATTTCTCATCCATCCTTCCTCCTGGCCAGGGCGGGTTGGCGTGGTGGGAAGCATGGTGCAGGGTTTGGCGTCAGAGCTCAGTTTGAGTCTGGCTTCCCTAGGCAGAAGTCATGGCTTTGGGATAATACCTGCTTCCTGAATTGCTGGAGGACTAGGCCACTTGTATAAAGTGGCATCGGACACACGGAAGACATTTAACAAGTATTTCCTTCTTTTCTCACCTCTTCCCTCCGAGGAACGATCCCGATTTTGTTCCTCTGACCTTTTTTGTTCCAACCTCTCTCCTTCTTCTGCCCTCTCTAACCACGCAGACGATTCCCTTATAAACATCTCTCCAGCCTTGAATTTTCTCTTCGGTTTGCTCAACGTCCAGCTTTTTGTTGAACATCTCTGCCTACCTCTCTGTATCTCGGACTCCACATGAACAGAATCACTTATTAATTCCCCACAAAACTAGTTTCTCTTCCTGACTTTCCCATTTCTGTTTCTCTGAAATGTTGCTTATTTCTGTGCTCTCTTTTTCATTGCACATTAAAACCCTAACTAAGCTTCATTGTGAGCCACTGTTATGGACCGGAGTGGTCTGCACCCTGGAGATGTGCAAAGCAGAAAAACATTTGATTTCAATCCCAGACCTTGCCTGGGTTTTATCCCCAAATCTCATACTTTCTTTTTGACTCAGGGTGAGGTACCCAGCTTCCTCATCTGTAAGACCTCACAGAATTGTTGGAAAGAGTGAATGGAAAAATGGTTCTAGTGTTTAGAACAGTTGGTACTTAGTAGGGGTTTAGTAATTGTTCATTGTAG